CGTTTAAGACCTGACACCTGAAATTTCCATACTCAAGTTCTCTCCTACATTGCCCTCCAGTAATCTAAAAGGCTCAAAGCACACCAGCTTAATTAAAACCTGTATTTTTGCCCCCAAACACTTTAAAAAAATGTTTATACCACAATTCTAATGTTCTTTGTCTTCCTTAGTCACATGGACACCTGATTTCATTTAATTAGTCTAATACATTGCATCTTCCTTAACATAATGGAGTGCTCCCATAGCAGGAGTTTACTGTTTCTCTGCAGAATGGCGTCTTCACTGTGCAGGCACCTGACCTGAACAGCGAGACTGCCATCTTACATGCAAGCATATCAGAGCTCCATGACATATGCGGGACAGAACAAAACCTGACCATAACAGTATTACCTCCACAATCGCCTTGCAAGTATACCTTGGAAGAACAGTTACCGCTCTGACAGAAAAAGGCAGTTAACTGGCACAGTGTATAGAAAAGCAGTGAATGAATAATAGTTTTTACAGGAATTTGCCAGGCTGCTGCCTGCCAGTCTCGTTGATACCAAGCCTCATCGACACCAGTGAAAACATTTCCATATCTAACATCACTACTAGAGCTTTGCATGCAAAGTAAATGCAACGCATTATGAGCTATGGCCTGTGACTAATCCTCCCTCCTTGCCATACCCCCCTCCCCATCCCCGCCCCCCCTTCTTTAAGGTTGCAGCGAAGTTGTACATCTGGCTTGGGCTGGTATTTTATCCTAAAGTGGAAACAGTATCATTTGGTCATCATGCAAAATGTGATGTTGTACTCACTGAAAGAGGGAATTAACTAGAAGAAGTTGAGACTGCAAAGATAAGCCAGGCTATAACAATATAACTTGGTCCTAGAAGTATACGAAAAGCAAAATTCAGTGTTTGGTAGGTCATAGGGCATACATACTTAGAACTTGCAGTTTCATCTTCCAGTGGTCCCAATTCTCGAGATACTTTATCTGTCACATACACATCATTATCTCTTGTTTCATCTTCATCATCACTACTCAGTACACAGCTGTCCGACTGTCGCTGGCTTCTTAGTCTGAGATTTCTCCTTTGTCGTTGATTCTCTGTAATTTAATTTTAATAAGTTAGATATTTTTATATCTACCTCTCTCCCTGGAACTATCCTTGAAATGCATGATTGCAAATAGAATATAATGGCTCATAATTTAAAGGGACAATAGTCAGCTGGGTTAAAAGCAATCTTAGTATTTAGGAAGCTACTTTAAGGCTGAACACTTCCAAACATTGTGAATATTCTGCTATGTATCAACACAAAACATTTGCTCTTTTCACCCTACAAACAGCTAAAACATGATCTTAAAGATTCTCGGTGTCCTAAGTTTCATATAGTTATACTACCTGTGAATAGATCTCCCCTATAAAGGGAAGTCAGCTCTCCTGATTGGTACTAACAAAGAATGCTATGCTATTATGTTGAGGACTTGCAACAATTGCTGTGTGATACCAGAGAGAGAGGGGACTGCAGTTTCTAAGTAGCACAGCAAGGTAGCACATACACAAAAAAAGGCCTGGTAAAACAGAGTGCTTTGTTCAGAAAGCTTCAGAAGTGATGGAAGAGATGCTTAAAACTAAAAATGTAAATTATGGAGCTGCTGTGGTTCCTCACTGCTCTAGCCAGGTATGATGCTAAACTATTCCTCTCTTTTTGTCTGTGCTTAACCAAACCTCCCCACTCAAAAGCACTTCCTATAAAATGAATCTTTTTAAGAACAGTACTGGGAAATTATAAAAATACTTTAAGCAATGTCTCCTAAGACATTTTCATCATCTTCCTCCTGAGTTAAGGCAACTTGAAAATGGACTTATAATGCTCAAGATAAAAGGACATAAAAATTTTTTTATTCCTGGTCTCTAACATCCAAAGGTTAAAGAACTACTGTTTGGTTTTTAACAATTAGAAACCACATGCAATAATTACCTCTGGAACTCCAGTGTACATGTAACAATAATCAAGCACTAATGAATTAAAATTGCATAAATAGCCACAAAATGAAAGTTCCTTCCTGCTTAAGTATTCAGCTACAACTGTTATTGCAAGCATTTTTTAATTGCTTTTGCTTCATTCAGAGCACAGAATAGATTACATTCTAAACTAAGCAGCTAACAACATACTAATACATCTCAGATATTATAATCAGAACAAGGTCTGAAAGCTGTAAACGATTAACTCCTTTATACCTATAACTATTAAGACCTAAAGTAGAAAAAACCCTCCACACTCGTTAATGCTTCTCAGTACTGAATTTGAGGCATGTTAGACTAGAAAATGAAAGCGAATGCTATGAACACAAATAACATTCTTATTTAGTTCCTTCAATGCAATGAAGGCTAAAAGAAAAAAATCTTCCGACATTTTCTTTATTCAAAGCAGGTATTCCAGTGCTAATTAAAATTATCATCATCTTTGGGCTTACAGAAATTCTGTATTTGGAAAATAAGAAACACATATTTTGAGCAGCTTTGATCTATTCTATTTCAGATATTTTCTACAAGCTCCGATAGTGACCATCAAACACAGATTGGATCTGTTCTCTGAGACACTGGCCAGCCAGATACTTTAGCACTGTGCTTTGTCTTTTGGTAAATGCAGTTTCAATCCATGCTGCCCAGGTTCTTTGGAAAAGACAAAAATAAAATTTGAGTTTAGGCCAATTCCATTATCAACTGTAAAACGTCAACTTACCTTCAACAATCTTGCATCAACATATGTGGGAAGGGAGAGAAAAGAAAATACGATTAGACTTTGGCGTGCACCTCTAGCGTTACATACAAACACCAGACAAGCTAAGCAATTACAACGAAACAACCTGAGAAGGGTAGGATATCACTCTCTTAGTTTGATGAAGAATGTTAGAAGTAGTAGTAAATTAGCTGCTGCTCTGAAAATAAGGAAGGGGTTGCTTCTGGTTCTGCTCACACTGCTGCAAAGGCATAGAAATGGAGGCAGCTTACGAACC